TGCCACGCTCATAGCTGGTGATGTGGTATATCTTGACTTTAGTGAGGTTTTAGATACAGTCTCCATGACCTTCTCAAACATACTAGGGAAATACAATCTAGATGGAGCTATTAATAAGGGGGTTTAACTGGTTGAAAAACTGTCCGTAGAGAATAATAATCAGTGGTTCCCCAGGCAAGCTGGAAGGGCATATCAAGTGGAGCCACGCTCATAGCTGGTGATGTGGTATATCTTGACTTTAGTGAGGTTTTAGATACAGTCTCCATGACCTTCTCAAACATACTAGGGAAATACAATCTAGATGGAGCTATTAATAAGGGGGTTTAACTGGTTGAAAAACTGTCCGTAGAGAATAATAATCAGTGGTTCCCCAGGCAAGCTGGAAGGGCATATCAAGTGGAGTACTGCAGGGATCAATTCTGGATCCAGTTCTGTCCAATATCTTCAACCGTTATATAGATAATGGCATAGAGTACACAGTTATAAAGTCTGCAGATACCTACCTGGGAGGGGTTGCAAGTAATTTGCAGAATAGAATGACCTGGACAAACTGGAGAAATGGAAAACTGAAAAAAGATAGGATGAAATTCACTAGGGACAAATGCAAAGTTCTCCAGTATGAAGGAACTAGCAGTTACACCTACAAAATGGTAAATGATTGCCTAGGAAGGAGTAATGCAGAAAGGGATCTGGGGATTACAGTGAATTATATGATAGGTAAGTCAGAGAAAACCTATTGCATAAAAAGCAAACATTCTGAAATGTATTAGCAAGTAATTCTTGCACTCTACTCTATGCTGTTTAGGCTTCAATTGGAGTTTGTTATCCAGTTCTAGGTGCCACATTTCAGGAAAGATGAGGATATACTGGAGAGTCCATAGAAAAGCAACCAAAATTCAAGGCCTAGAAAATATGACCTGTGAGGGTAGATTTAAACAGAACTGGGTTTGTTTAGTCCAGAGAAGAAAAGACAGAGGGGACATGACAGTTACAAATAGAAGTTTGTTACAAAGAGAAGAGTAAAAAAAATTTGTTACCTTGGAGGATAGGAAAAGCAGCAATAGGCTTAAATTGCAACAAGAGAATTTTAGGTTTGACAGAAAAAAATATCCTGTCAGAATGGTTAAGCACTGGAATGACTATGTAGGGACACTGAGGAATCTGTGTCATTGGAGATTTTTAATAGCAGGTTAGACAAACACCTGGCAGGGACTGTAGATAATATTTGGTCCTGCCTTAAATCTGAGGGACCAGACTAGAAAACCTCACTAGGTCCCTTCCAGTCTTCAATTCTGTGACTATGTCTTAGTCCTCAGAGTAGAACAGTTTTAAAGACATCCTAAAGTTCAAGAACTGCTTTGTTCTTGGATATTGTAGCAATTCAGTGATAGCTACCAAGAAAGGACTGGAGCCAACATACCATCAGGAAGCTGTAGCCACAGCATATGAACAAAGACCATTAAGACTACTAGCAAAGAGTTAAAGGCCACAAGTGCCTTCTATCAATGTTATTTCCTGAACTCAGAAATGCCTTTCATTGAGAGGCTGGTATAGGGACTGAAAAGATAATGATGCATTCAATGAGGCAGGATAAAAAGGAATGCTGACAGCAGCCTCTACTTTGGCCTATTACCCTGAAAGTTTCATCCCTACAGAACAGGAGTCAAGTAAAAACGAAGCAAAGTTAAGGCAAACAAGATAAATTACAGTGGCTCATTACATTTCAACCATGACAAGTAAAGGAGCAGCAGAATGCCTTAGAAGAAAGAGAAGAACCAGAGAGCTCCTCCATTAAAGCAGTGGTTCTCAAAAACTTCAGTATTAATGACCCTTTTTACACAGCAAACTTTTGAGTGCAACTACACCCCACCACCACCACCACCAAAAAAGTTAAAACATCTTTTTATATTGAACATTTATAAGTGCTGGAGGTCAAGTAGGCTTCAGATGGAGGCTGATATTCACAATCCCGAGGGATCATGACCCTCAGTTTGAGGACCCCTGCAGTAAAGGGGACAAACTAGAATAGTCCTATCTTTCAATTGGTTAAAGCCCATGCCTGTATAAGTGAATGGGATAGTTCACCATTTACCACCCACTTGATGTAATATAATGCAAAACACCCTTAGAAGAGGTGGGCTGATATTCCTATGGCTAGCAAACGTTAAGAATCTTCTGACACACAAAAGAAATAAGACACAACTTCAGCATTTTTCTTTCGGAAGCATCTTATTACCAAGAACACAGTTCTGTCATTTCTTTAAACCAAAAGTTAATCTAGCAAATCAACACAATCAAGTCTTCTGTTGAAAGCCTATCTGAATTTATCTTAATTAGCAAAAGCACCAGGGAACAGATGGTAGTGTGGAAAAAAGCAGGGTACAGTAACTCACCTTCTTGTCTCTGGTCCTTACTTCCCCATAGAAATCTAGAGCTTCTTGAGCCTTTAAAAACTTGCCTCGATGTAACAAATATGCACAAATCATTACACCAGTTCGTCCCTTTCCAGCTTTACAGTGAATTGCTGCAACATGATTGTCATCTTCACTTAGCCATTGGTCAAGATCTTCACAAAAAGGTTTGATAAGCTCTAGCTGTGGTGGGTTATGGTCTTCAAAAGGATACTGTGCAACTGTGATAGGAAGATAACATTGTAAATGTTATCTCAAATTTAAAGATTAGTTTCACAAAATGCATATTGCGCAATTAACAGTCTAAAGAGGGTAACTGAATAGGTTAAGTAGATCTGGCACAAATACCATAATGACTGTTTCCAGAAAGATGGCATACAAGATGTGGAACACAGTCTAATAGGTTTGCCCCAGCAAATTCCCCAATTACACACACTTAAGATGACACTGTCCTGTTGAATAAGACATTATACCAGAACCTATTGCTCCAAGAATAGAGGGTTACGCCATGCCCACTGATAACACTAGATAATTCTGCTCAAGAGTTCTGAGATTATGATTCACCCTATTCCTGGGACTTAACAAGTCATAGTTGCATAATTAATTCCAAAAGGCTCAAATACACATGTAACAATGTAACCATAACTTTTGTTTATTTGAAAAAATCTCTGCCCCTCCCCCCAAACAAAAAGCCCACAAAAACAGACACCATTGAAATATGTGAGTTTTACTTTTAAAATGTTTTCTCCCTTCCCTCGCACTTAATACATCAAACAAGAGATGGCAACTACTGAGAATTAGGAAGCAGAAAAATAAAAAGGAAAAGACACTTAAATCTGTGGAGAGAAATAAGCAATAACCAGGAGACTGCAGCACCCAAAATACAACACACCCGTCTTGCAGTGTCAAGCAAAATAGATAATACCTATATTGCTGCTCAGTATATTTAGTCACACAAAGCAGTATTTACTCTGCCCAACAGGTTCCCTCACTGATTTATGGGCAGACAGACTCTTGCACAATTGCCATCCAAATCTAGTCAAACTGTACCTTGGACACTCACTCTCTAGTTTTGGCCAAAGAATACATAAAGCATCGAATTTTGGGTAAGTCTTTACATTAGTATTTTACTGACTTGTTGTATATAACATTCAAAGGGTATGTAAATTTCTTTGTAGAGACAGTTAAGATCTGAGAGCAAAAGAGATATGACATTTATTGTCAAACCAAGAGATTATTTTAGCAAAAAATTCTGGTGCAGAGCAGCGTACCATTTTATCTGAGGAAAAAAACTGCTAGAACAGCTTATTCACTCACAGCACAGACTTGTTCTTGTTCTCCTGGAAGTACAAAAAAGTCTCAACTGACAAAAAGCAATGAAATTTGACATGGATTTAAACGAGGGTCCATGACACTTTAAATTGGTAAAATCAGAATATTGCCATCTGAAATTTTGGTAAGACCTGGCCAAGGTTCCCTCTGGAGAAAAAGCCACAGAGGAGATCCTGGAAAAAGTTCCAAGAGAAGAGCAGCTTGTTGTGGGAGCTCTCCAGGGGCTAAATCTGAGTCAAGACTAGCATAGTTGATTGCTGACAAGGAGCCAAGGGCCTAGGAAGGGCTCCGCTAAAGATTCCAGAGAAGCTTGAGTTAGGCAAATATTTCAAACAGCCTTGAGAAAACTAGAACAAGATAGTCTGGAGTTTGGGATGGACAAGTCATTCCCAGTTCAGGAACCCCAGGCAAGGGCTAGATCCTGAACTAGCTGAGAAGGCCCAGGCTCCTCTAGACCATTCACCTAAAGATCATGGAAAAATCCCTATACCCAAGAAAGAACTGAGGGAAGCTAAGACAGAAGATGGGTGGAGGACAACTTGCTCCCCAAAATAAGGAGATACAATCCTAAGAGGAAAGGACTAAAAGATTACATAAACTCTAGGTAAACTGTTATGTACCACAGAGACTAAAGGTCTCATTCTGAATAGCTTTTCATTTTGTTTTGGCCTTAATTTTCTCCACAATGAAGACACCTGATTTGGTTGAAAACCCATCCTCTGAATATCAAACTCTTTCAAGATACTTCATGTTGGGCACCCCCCCCCCCCCAAAATCACTTCTCTTTATTGAGTACTTAATTACTAAAACTTGCTCTTCTCTAAGGGGAAGGCAAGGTGAATGGAAGAAGGGGATTTTTAAGAACTTTATCATATATCAAAGGTGGATTGTTTTTGTGATGAAAGACAAAAATAATGCAACTCTCCAACTGAACCACCTTAGCTAAGATATGGTAGAGCAACTAGAATAAAGCATAACATTCAACTGTGTTAAGGACTCTGTGATATTCTAGAGTAAAAGGATTTCAGTAAGTGTTTTCTGAAATGTAAGCTCCTTCATAGCACAAAATACCTGAAAGTAAGCATGCCATCTGATCATGTGTTGTTAAAGGTCCACCCAACTTCATTTGTGTGTATGTCCCTCCTACTCTTGGAAGTCCTGGAATCAATCTTCCTCTCCTTACTTACAGGCTTTGACAATCAGTGAAATAGTTTAATGATGTTTAAAGCATCACATTGCACCCACTGAAATGAATGGGGCAGTTCAAACCTATGATTTCTTGTTTTCTGCCTTTCTGTAAACCACAGCAGACTCTGCAGAATCAGTTGAACTCGGATAGTGTTTGACGGTCTCTTTTGCAACCCTAACTAGAGATTCAGCGTCTACTAAGACAATTTAAACAGACTCAGGAAAAATGACTGAGTTCTGTCCATGGTTGCCAGTTGCCCTCGCCCTCCCTGCCCCCCACACACACTTTGAAAAATACTGGAACAAACACCGAGGGAGATTATACCACTCATTAGATACTTAGCTCTGGAGATCCTAATGAACTGGAGTCTGAGTATTACAGCTGCAGCATGGCCTGTTAAAGTTAAAATCTACTCTGTTATTTAACACACTGGAGGGGATTCCTTTTATAGATCCATATGAAGCAAAGTAAGCTCCTACAAAACCTGTTAGATCATCCTTACTGATGGTTGCCAATTTCCCCTGGAAGTGTTCCTGGAGATTTTATCAAAAAATAATTAAAAATTAATCTTAATTCCTGGAGATTCCAGGACTATCCTGAAGAGTTGGCAACTCTATCTACACTGAAGAACCTTTATTTATCTATGCACCCATTCTGAATCATGATATGAGAGTGAACTCTTAATGCACTGTATCCAAAAACATTGCTCTGCCAATGCTCCATGCAGGAATCTAGAGCCACTATGGGAGAACAATGCTGACATGGAACAGCAATATTAGTTTATTTTCGCTAGGTGTCCTGCCAAAAGACTTAGCTTAACCGAGGGTCAAGAGAGGAATAATTATACTCGGTAGCATCCAAAACATCCCCTCAAGTAGCCGGAAAAGCTTCAAATCAGAACACTGAGCTACCCCATTTCAACCATGGCAGAATAGTGAAACTATGAAGCAGTTTCAATTACTTAGATAGGGGAAGCCTTGATTTCAAAACTTTCTGGCAGAGCTGCCTCTTACATTGCAGGGTTAAGAATTACTGCCTATGCATTCTGGATCCCAGATGCAAACGCCATGAGGTGGGAGGCTGTCAGAGCCCAGACTCCAGCCCAAGCAGGAACAGCCCCACAGCCCAAAACCTGCAACCCCAAATCAGCTGACCTGGGGTCTGACATGTGATGCCACAGTTTTTTTTTTTTTTTTAATTGCAGTGCAGATTTACCCACTGACCAATAAGCATGGCTTTACCCATTTTTTGGGAACTAAGTGTTCATCAAATCTAACAGAGTGCTTCAAAGTTTGTTTTAAAATCAGCTTTAGTCATAACCTCAGACTTACACATAAATTTCATCTATTTGTGTCCTTAGCCCATAACAGATAATTGCTAAGAACATACTCTCTGCACAGTGTTAAGCACCACTATAAGCTTCTTATGAAAGACTCTTAAGTTACATTAATACAATTCTTCTTCCTCCCACCCCCCCAAACACTACATTGATATTTGACAGTTTCAGTTTGCACCTTTAGTTCAGAAAAATAAAATGAGAAGATGGGAAGGAAAAGAAGCTAATAGCCTAGACTCTAGGCAGCACAAACATACCTCTGCAGTTAAATTTGGTGGTGTCATAATGTCTTTCAGCACATCTAAAAAGAAAAGATTAAAGTTCAATATAAATACTTTAGATAAGTCTAAGGTGTCTACAACACTTTGTTACATAACAATCAGCATAGGAAAGCCAAGAAAAAAAATTTAAGGTCACATCACTGCTATAGCTCAACACCACAGCTAAACTTGACCTACAAAATTTAGATTATGTTGTTTTAAAATATATTGGTTAAATTGCTATGGCAAATAAAAAAGATATTGCTGAAAACTAAGGATATCCTACAGTAACTGGTGGTTCTTTGGTGAAGATTAGTGGTCACTCCATGTCACTGTCTTGTACATTTTAGAAACTGACACTTCTGAAGAAGATGGAGGCGGTCACTTGAACTTTGGTGAGCCCTGATCCAGGGTCAAAGTAAATGTCAGAACTTACCCATGAGCCCTGCACCAGACCTGGCATCTCTAACCCAGGCCCTTTTAAATCACCAGGTCCAAGGACAGCTGAACCTTTGGCTTCCATCTGACAGCTTCTCTTTTGATAAGAGTCCAGCAGTGCTGCCATAGCAGCACTTTGACATTGCTGCAAGACCCTACCAGCAAGGCTGCCAACGGGGGAGCAAAAAGTTGGCTGTGTGCACACTGGTCTGGCGACTAATTCTTACTGAAATGCTGTGCAGGCCTACTTTCACCTCTGGTCCCGACATTGAGACACACACATATACCAGCTAAATGGAAACAGTGTAAGATCCATTATGTTATCTACATACATATTCTCTGAGCTGGGATGTTTTGGCTTTTGAAACAGCCAGTTATTGCCAGAAATAAAGTAGGTAATCTGTTTGGTTCCACTGATGTAGTAAAGCAATATTCTTGAAACATTCAGTATAAAACAACTTCTCCCCCCTGGTGTGGAATGGGACTTGGACAAGATAAGTTAATTAAGTTGCATCTGAATTAGAAGTCACTTTGGGGATGAACTTTAGTAAGATTTCACCACCACCTAGCAGCTACAAAAGGCTGTATAAAAAGGATCAGCCATAAGAGCTCAGAGATGCTCTCCTAAGCAAAGGAATAGCAATTAAGAATGCAGTCCTCAGAGTGAAATGAAGGAAAGAGCACTCTGATAGGTTCCCAGAAAAAGCCCCTGACTTAAGAGGATGAAGATGTTATCCTGGACAGGCTCAGATTCTCTGATGGGAGAGTGCGAGACAGGTCCTTAGAGAACTTCAGATTTGCCAGGTGAGAGAAGATCAAGCATAATTGTACCAGTGCATGAGTAGCAGAAATTGCAGCACAGGGGACCTAATGAAACTGAACTAAAGGCATGACCATTTTAAAGGAAGATGGAGCCATGGATATTGTGTGGATATTGTGCCTGCAGGGTGCAAGCTATATTGGGCCACACACAAGAAATCAATTCTATTAAGACAAGTAAGTATTCCTGGTAGATGTCACCTGGCTTTATAGAAGCATACCCTGAAATTGCTATCTGTGATACTTAGCCAGCCAACACCCAGCCCGCTGGATGCAGAAATTTCAGGTCAAATATGACCATGGTGCTGTAGCATCAAGTCCTGGTACTCTGGGAGCTGAACAACCAACTAAACTGACATCTGTAGCAGGTCTGAGCCAATACTACTCTAGACAAGAGAATTATGCAAATGATAATTCTTCGGTCGTCCTTTGATTTCAGAAATCACTGTAGGGGGACCAGAATAATCAAAAGAAGAGCACACCTCAATTCTACTGCAGAAAGTGTGTCTGGTAAAGACCCCCAATCTCATGGCCCCTCTGGACCAAAATTTCTGAAACTCAGCACTGTCCTGAGTGGCAAACAGGTCTCTCCCCTAACAGCAGAGTAACTGCTCTATAATGGATCCCTTCAGTGACCACTAATAATTGTTACCTGTCTGCTCAAGTTACCCGCCCGACTGTTGTGGAGAGTCATCAGGGTGACCTGTATTGACAGCTCTGTGTCCAAAGTTTGAGGCTTACAGAGGAGTGATGAGTTGGCAATTAATGGCTTGTTTATATTGCATTGCTCAGGCACAGTCCATCAGGAGCTGCTCTGGGAATTTGGAAGATAGCTTGTATGTCATTTCTACCTAACATGATGGCTCTGGGTTCTAGGACATTGAGTGAAATCTCAGCTCTTCTAGGGTCCAAAACCATGATCCAGCTGCACTCCCCAAACTCTTGATGAAATATTCACAATTACTGTCTTTGTCAGGGAGGGAGTTGCAGAACAGTACAATGCCCTTATATATTCTTGGGTTCCAACTTCTCAGTTCTGCAAGAACATGAGGTGGTACTCAGATTTTCTGGTGTTTTGGTAGAGAATAGACTGGTCTGAGTCAGAATTATAGGGGCCACAGATGAAATCTGGCAAGCAGTGTTACATACATGCATTGCAATAAATGGCCCAATATCCCAAGAGAAGCCTTTAGATCACAGTATGGTTTTATCTCAGCAGCAACCCTTACAGTAAGTACCTGCCTTTGTGTAGATATGCTCCCTCTAGGCTTATTGCTGTTTCCTCCTGGGATCTGCTTCTGATCCCATCCAAGGATAGATGTGGATCCTGTCTTCAAAGGTGAGCCACCAGCAACTACCACTAGGTATTTTGTGGAGCCACTCGATACTTTGGTGAATGCGAATGGCAGTACCTTGTAATGGTAGTGATTTGGCCCCACTGTGAACCTCAACTACTTCCTGTGGGTCAGGTAGGTACTAATTGGAAGTACATGTCTTGTTTGATGACAGATATATTTTTGATCCCAACAAGAGATGGAGGCAAGGGTTGCCAATCTCAATCTGAGGCAGTATATCTGTTCAGTCTCCTCAGCTCTAGGATACGATCCTTTTCTTCTTCAGCACAAAAGAGTATCAGGAGTGAGTCTCTTTCTCCATATTTCAGAGGTTCCTTCCTCCTCTGCTCCTGAATGAAGGAATGAGGCCAATTCTCTCTCAAATAGGCTCTCATGCAAAGTCTCTTGAGAGACAGAGAAAGAGACTAGGGATATGAAAGTGTAACTATGTACACGGTTAACTGATGAGTCTGGGCTCATCAGATAACCTTCACAGTTACATGAAGGCCCCTGGTACATGCATGAAGCTGGCTTAAAAGCTGGCTGCCTGCATGCACCAGTTCCTGGGGAACTGCCTCCTCTAACCCCTGTGCTGCTACTTCTGCATCAGTCTCTCAACATCCCAGGGAGATGACTGCCTCTGACACCCTGGCACTACTCTCTGTCAGGACCAGCAGAGCAGGGAGGGACAGGCAGAAGCCGGTTCATACAGAGACCACATGTAACCTCTGAAATTTTCAGCAGTTACACACTTAAATGCATTTTAACATCCCTAAGGGAGAGAGGTAGGGAATAGAGTGTGGAAACGAACACAGTAGCTATGGGTGATGCTGATGCCTGTTTTATGGAACTAAATCTAAGGACAATAGGCAGGTCATCTCTTTCTTTTCTTGGAAGATACTTAGATTGTCTACTCTAGGAGTAGGAAACTGCCTCTTGTTGAGCTTACTATATGTATTGTTTCTGGTGAAAGCTAGTGTATACACACCTACAGATTATAATATGGCCCAGGAGTCCTTTAGTAAACTGAGTGCTTTCTCTGTTCTACATCCAAGAACTCCCTCCCTTCAAATGGCAGATCCTCTGTGGTGGCTTACACCTCTTTCCGTTTCACTGTCATATAAGAGGGAATGTTGGCAGGGACATGACTGCTCCACCTTTTATACCCTTGCACAGAAGTACAAAAAAGCCACCAGCCACAAGAGGCACTGCTAAGCAAGACTTGTCTCACACTCATGGCACACTGACACTCAAAGTACAGTAGTAAATCTTACCTACTCTTTCTTCATTTAGAATTTTAAACATTTGTTTAAAAGTCCAACTAGAATTGTAATAAAATGTAAGACAGTAAATGAGCTCCTATTTAAGACTGCTTTATTTTCTTTTTTTTTAATTCAAGCTACAGCTGTGTTTTTGTAGCAAATCCTGCCTTCAGGAATCCCTAGCAGCTTCAGTGGCTTCAAAATTTTGAAAAGCCACTTAAGGTTTAAAATGGCCATGGTTTAACCTGTAACCAATTTGGCACCTTCCTGGCAGTCATACAAGCATGAAATATCCATCATTTTGACTGATATGTCTCAAAGCCAAAGAGAAGGCAACAGCTTGTTTCGGCACATGGAACTCAGCATAGATGTAAGAGGACACACAGAGGAACAGCCACGCAACTAATTACTCAAAGGAGAAGGCTGCAAGAATGTTGTATACAAGAAAGAAAGAGGAAGGGGAACAAAAAAGAAGTTAAGAATAAAAAGATAACAATTTGAGTGTATAAAAGTAGAGGGAAAAAGTGAAAGAATATGGGTTAAATAAGACTTCAGAAAACTGAGAACAAGTGATTTAAGGTATAGAAGATGTACAAGAAATAAGAGTGAAGGACAGAACCGAAAGACTAAAAAAAATAAAGGAAACCATTATATTTATAAACATATTCTAGGGCTACGTCAAGACTGCAAGCCTCTTTCAAAAGAGGCTTTTTCATAAGATACTTTCAAAAAAGCCTCTTTCGAAAAAGAGCGTATAGACTGCAACCAGTACTTTCGAAAAAGCAAGCCGCTTTTTTGAAAGAGCACCCATGCAGTCTGGATTCTCTTTCGAAAAAGCACAGTTTGCATTACATAGCGCCTTTTTTCAAAAGAGCACTTTCAAAAAAAGGCGTTATTCCTCGTGAAATGAGGAGTACCGCCGTCGAAAGAAAAGCCATATTCTTTCGATTTAATTTCGAAAGAACGTGGCTGTAGTCTAGATGCAGGTGAAGTTTTTTCAAAAAACCCTGCAGTTAGTTTTTTCGAAAAAACACAGCCTAGGAAGTGAAATGCCAAATTGTCATAATAAGCTCTATCTACACAGTTTGAACACCAATTATTTAAAATGGTTTATAAACTAGGAAAGGGAATTGTTAACCAATAAGTATCACCTTTACCAGGTGATGCTTACGTTATGGTTAACCGACATCCCCTTCCCATTTAAGCAGATAACTGGTTAAACATAACATTTAACCTGTTAACTGATTAAATGCAATTTTACATCCCTATTAAAAGCCACAATTTAAATTGATGCAGCTGTCTGATGTAGATATTGAGATTGCATACACTCCAGATACCTTCCCAGTGTCATGATAGTCTAATGACATGATCTTCTCTCCTCTCTCCCCCTCCACAAGGCCCCACTTCACTTTTTATTAGTAGTACTGTCAACAGCTTTGCTTATTTTTAAATTAAAAATTTAGTGACTTCAAGAGAAGGAACGTCTTCGGGATTGATATACATAGAAGCCATAACACACACATCCCTTGCTGGTGACTGAATGCTAGGATTTGATCCTTTCCTACCTTGGAAACAAATGCTGTGCTAAATTACTCCTGTACAATCCTTACAAATATAACTGTTCAGGCTAGGAGTTTGTACAGATTTTGTCCCTATCATAAGAATTAAGAGATTTTCTGGATTCTCTACACAAATGAGCGGCATTTACAATGAAGAACCATTTTATAACCATTTAATCTATTTTCAATCAACCCGCTTCTTGAAAGAAAAATAAATCTCCTCTGATGCTTTTGTGAGAAAAATGTCTCATACAAAGAGTAAATTTGGTGATTCTGGGAAAGAATTAAGGCATCTGTGCCAATCCTGAATTAACCACACAGAGAAAAAGTGAAATACACATCTTGTAAGGACACAAAACCCAAGACTGTCTTTGTACTCTTATAACTGAAAAAGATCTGCATTTCAGCTTCAAAAACTTGCTGTGAAGTTGAACAAAAGCCTCTGATACACTAATTAATGGGATTCAAAAATACATCAGATAACATTACAAAATCTGGAATGTATTGGCAAAATACATATATCAAAGAGTCATATGCCTAAGGAAAAAAATAATGGCTATTATGCTCACCTCATTTTTAATCCCAAAGTTTTAAAAAAGTAATCAAGTTTTCATCTTTACTATCTAGCCAGCTGTGTGCCTCCAACATTATTTTAACCATCTATATATTAGAGGTTTTTCTCACCTCTTCCTTATAAAGTCTTATGTTCTGACCTGATTTAGAAACTGTAACACATATAGTATGTTTACTTCCATTTTTAACCTGCCACTGTTTATGCCAGTTTAAAAAGACAAGCTCAGTACCGAGCAATTCAACACTTCCTGATCTTGTGAACAATACCAAAGCCACACTTCACTGAAATTGACAGTCATAAGCAGAGAAAAGTAAATTAGTTATCCTATTACATATCAACCCAGGAAAAATGACTGACTTGTACAAACAGTATTTGATGGGAGGGTAGGATGGAAGCATAGAAATATCTTCACTCAATCTTGACAGTTCAACAAATAAGCATTTTAAAATAATTAAGCAAAAAAAACCCCCACTTGAAACACAATCTGACTATGTGACAAGTCCTCTACTTGATAATTATTTTTTAAAATAAATTCCAGAATGCAGATATCAGCCCCCTAGCTTTGGATGACCAGGTTGAACTACAGAAGGACTGAAATCATGACAGAAACCCAAATAAATACCTATTTAGCTTTTTGAGGGAAACATATTCAAATGATTCATCAAGTGCTTTTAGAAATACTATCAGTCACATAGTGCTGGCACATGTGTCAGTGGGAGGTTATATATTCCAATTAGGTTGCCTTCTGAAAAATTTACAGGTACAAGATAAGAACCTCATCATTGGAATGCATGATAAATCACTTTCAAAATTGTCAAAGTTGCATTATTTTAATATATAGTTTGGTTAATATCAATACATTATGCATATCAAGTCTTAAACTATCTTCATATATGTCAAAATAACAATCCAACAGGATTTATTTTTAATGATTTACTATTTACAGTGTGTAGTTATTGGACTGATTTTTTATTAGCAGAAGAAAAATATATATTGGATTAAACAAAAGAAAACAAAAGGAAAATGAAGACACGAGTTGATAGTTAGCAAAAACCCTACACAATACTTTGATTACAGATATAGCTACAAGCATTATACCTATAAAACTAAGGAAAGTTCAACTCTAGTTACTATTGCAATAACTTATTCAAAATTGCAGACAGGGATAGCAAACAGTTCACAGATTCAAAACAGTATGGTTTAAATCCGTGGTCACCAAGAGGTCGATCAATCGCGAGGCCACATTTCCCTCCCACTCCCGAGAAGCCCACTACCTACCTCAAGTGAAAATGGAGGTAGTGTCAACTTCCCGGGGATGGACAGAAGTCCAGCAGCTCAGTGCCACTTCTGGCGATTCCAGAAGTAGCGCTAGCTGCTCTGCCAGGTGTACTGCGGGAGGGAGCATTGGCTCCCTGCACTGCAGAGGAGGGGTGAGTCAGCCCTGGGGTAGGTGCGTGCGGGACTTCCCTGC